GGAGAGGATCGAACTCTCAACCTCACGATTAACAGTCGTACGCGCTAACCAATTGCGCCACCAAGACGTGGTTGGTGGTCAGCTGACGTAATAAGGATTTATAGAGCTATGCAAATGACGGAGAGAATGATGACATCAGAAGACAGCTCCCAGTCTCTCGAACAGTCTTTCGGGTGGCGCGTGATGAGGCCTGGACATGCTCACGCGTGGTGAGGCAATCTCAAGCTAGCGGACTCGGTTGAGGGCTTGGGGGGAACTCAACCATAGAAAGACGGGAGAAGGATTAGGGCTGAACCTCATTCTGATGCATCGGGTGTGAAGAGAGGAATATGCTCCTTTCAACGAAACCACACTATAAAAATACCACTTCTCAATTCGAAATCACTCAAATTCATTCTCTTCAGACCTAGAGTTCCCGTTGTTAGTTGCTTCGACCCCGAGACCCAGCCATCTACGCCGAATGAGCGCGCTTCATATGCTTGGTATACTGCGCGCGAGTAGAGAACAACAGACTCCGCCCGCAGAACTGACACGGATAGGGCTTCTTCAGCTCATGGTTCACCTGATAGTGCTTACACAACCCAGTATGGCTGTAGTAAGCAGCTTTACAGGGTTGCCCATCGGCGCCCGGAAAGGCGCAGATCCATCTACCCATGTTATCCCGCACGTAGTGATATCGACCGGAGCGGCGCTGGGGTGATCCTGCGTCCGGCTGTGGGTGATCCTGTTGCTGGTTTTCAGGGTATGCTACGCGCGAGGGGGGGTGGACGATGTACTCACGAGCACCAGGCAAGTACTCACGCAGGTCGGGGTCTTGACCTGTCTGCTCCTGCAGCATTGGCCATTCTTCCCCGGCATCGGCCTGACCCACCAGCGTCTGCTGGTCCTGGGATGGCTCCTGCGGAGCGAAGGCAGAGCTCAGGAGGTTAAAAAGACGATAAGGATAAGACGACATCATGATACTTGCCGGTCTGGATAAATCAGATCCTCAGCTGTGCGTCGCCTGTAGAGAGATGGATCAAGAATGGGCGCAGAGAAATAGCACAATGTCTTTTTATGTTTCTTGGACAGAAGGTAACAAGAAAGAAGGAGATGAGGATGTCGCTATGCAATAAAGAGATAGTACAATGGATTGTAAGCCCAAAGACCAACTGGAGAAAATGTTCCGCTATGTTGGAATGAATGCCCCACTAGTTTCTTTATCCTCTGTTGGTAAAAGTACGGTCATTGTATGGAATTGATGGCCCACCATGCTACTGAGACAGGATTATTCATGACACACATACCTAACTCTATCAAAACTCATTCATGAGTTGCTGACCTACAGCAGGCGATCCCTGCGTCCAAGGAGGGAAAAGGAAATGGAATTTCCGACAGTCACACGTGCCCCCTGCCTATCCTTCTACTTCCACTGCCGCATTTTCTTGGCAAATTGGTAATTACAGATATTTGATGTCAGTTGGATCAATACAATATCCGATCGGACCGCTGCTACCGTCTGGTCGGGTCCGCCAAGAAATCCGGAGCCGGAATCGACCTTACTAGATCGGGTGCGATCGACCATTAGCCGGAGCCTGGGGCGGTCGATTGAATGGGTTGCCGAAATGCCACAAGTAGACTGTCCATGAGGTCATGTACTAATCCCAGACAAGACTATTTGTTAGATGGTTGGGAGCTGCGTTTATTGCCGTGGTTGACCCGTTATATCTACTGCTCAAGGATGGGCCAGACCCAGGCCCAAAACGAACGCGGAACGTAGAAAGCAAGCCAGCCCTAAGGACTTGGTCAAAGGACGCCCGCAATTCCGCTAGGATGGTGGACAACAAAGCCATGCAATTGATGACAATGGATTTCGGTAAGTACAAAAAGACAGACACTGGCCAACAATAAGGCTTAGACAGGGCTGGCATATCAGAACAATTGAACACAGAAGGAGGCACCGAAAGAGTCCAAGAGAAGGTGGTATCGAAACAAAGATCCTGACAAAACAAGGAGGTACGAAACCGAAGACCAAGAAGATAACGCGAGAAAACCGAAAGATCTAAGCAACAAACGAGAGATTTTGACAATCAGATGCGGTAGAAGGTGGCAAGAAGACACCAAACAGGACGATGAATGGGCGTCGCAGATGAACTGCAAACACAGATGATCAAAACAGAGACTTGATCTTCGAGGGGAACTGTTGTGGCTCAAGTCGGCGCGGAAACTGGCCTCCGAGCGAGACCGGTCGCTAGGGTTGCAATTTGTTAGATAGGTTGACAAAAGCAAGGAGGCATAAGAGAAGCACGGTTGACGTGATATACCACCGGTAGGGTGAGTGAGCTCATAGCTTACCTGAGTGATAGGTTGCGGGGACCATGTTCTTATCATCATACCCTCTTTGCTTATCATGATAGCATGGTTTCCAGTACGTCGGTAGTTTCCAGTGCGGTCGTTTCCTGCACCTAGGTTCATGTTCCTTTTGAGGCCCGATGATACGAGCAGGGCCTGGTTCCGTTCCGGTCTTCCACATTCTATCCTCTGGTCGCAATGGCCCCTCGCGATGCGTCTTTCCGGGGGGGAATATCTTCTCCCTATTTTCATACTCCTTAGGGTGCTCTTGGTATGGGAGACCCTTTTTGTTATAACACACTTTTCCCTCCGGCAGGTCCTCTATATGCTCTGCCGACCTGAGCGCATGCTCGATGGAAATGTAGTGGAGATCCCACTTAGAGTGCGTGAAGGGAAGCTCGCTGAGAGACCACTAAATTCCTTGATTGTCAGCTTACACCCAAGAACAGAATGTGAAGGCATACATAGGAGGTATTGCTGTGAATCAACGTATCATCCAGAAGCCTGCAAGAGTGGTCCTCTTTTGATTTTCGGGTCTTTGAAAACCCGAACCACTGGAAAAACGATTTCATTGGTAAGAGTCCCATGATATCTGCCGAAGTCAAGGAAAAGAGAGATATTAATAGCTAGGATTGTGTTTGCCATGGTGCAGGTCTAGAGCACGACTATTTATGCCCCCCATGGTATACTGCAATGAACCATATTGCTGCACTCGATCACGATGCCATCTGCTACACTGTGAAACTGCGGCGAAGAGCATAGGCAGACAGTAGAGAAACATGATGGGATTATGCCTCACTCAGCCTGCGAGGGCGGTTTCGCGCTGAGACCCCATGTTGTGGCCGGGCATACTTCTGTGCCTTTGTGATCATAGGCCAGTCCCTCATCAATGAAGACAAGAGGATCAAAGATCAAAGGTAAGCAGATCACAGTAGTGGCAGCTCTTGTTTTTCTTCTGATAAGGACAGACAAAGACCGGAGACTGCAATTTGAGACAAAGTGTATCAACTACCTTACAACTAGATGGCTGGGACAGTCAAAATTCTAATAATGGAAGTGCAGCTTCAAAGACATGTTGAAAATCTTACACAAAGGAGGTGTATTGGTGTTGTGCTATTTTCATCAGAGTCGTGCACTATTTAAGGTGCTTGAGTGCTACATGTGTCTCAGGCTGAAGCTAGTTTTATCTATCTTCCACACACACACACACACACACACACACACACACACACTGCGAACAGAAAAATGGAAAACAGCGACTTTTTCTCCGACGATCCCCTCGTGCAGCAAGCAGCCCAGGTTGTGTTTGATGTAGTGGACGGGATAGAGGACCCGCACACCGGGGCCGAGCGCATCGACGCCATTATCCGTCCATACTTCTTGACTCCCGAGAAAGAGCGGAAAGGGGATAAACCTCTAGAGCCGTTTTGGTTGGAGGTAATTTCGACTGCCGCTGTCACGCGCTACGATGATGAAGGGCAGGATCGATTGATTAAGCTCATGTGCGCTTTGAGTCGGCTGACACCGATCATTATCGATGAGGAGGAGGAGAAGATGAGGAAGAAGAAGAATCAGGGGGGGGTGAGGGAAAAGCTGTGGACAAGCTTTAGCTATTTGGGGTGGGTGATGCGACAGAACTTCCCGAGCGGGCTTCCTGAAATTTATCCCGATCCGACGGCCAAGTGCTGCGGACTCCTCCACCTTCCACAGGATGCCCGGTGTCCCTTGAAACTCGGCGACAAAGACAAGCCGAAGGATGATAAGTGGATCGCGCAAGACCTCAATCTGGACTCCTTCATGGCTAGAGTCCTCGGACATCAGCTGCGGCCGTGGAAGGAGTTCGCCATCTGGCAGCTGCGGTCCGCGCTCGAGTGGCCCCATGTAAACCCCCGTCTCGTCGATCACCATCTTGCTATCGTGCGTGAATGGATTCTCCATGCGGGCTACGAGCTGTATCGCCAGCGGTACGAAGGCTTTCTCGAAGCGGACAGGATGAGGCGCACAATGCAGGGGCCTCTCCACCGTGCCACAGGTGGTAGGGCGGATATCCCCCGCGAGCGGTGGATCTTCTGGAAAGAACGCATTGCGGAGCTCGCGAAATTCGCCTCCGATGACTTTCAGAAGACCGCGGCGGCCCTGGTGGATCGGATGAACAAAATTGAGGAGGATCTGCAGGATATCCCATTGTCGCAAAAGGCAAGCGGGTGTTAGTGTTGCGGCCCTGAGGCTCTAGTTTGATATTCACTTCTTTGGTATTTGATTTACAATATTACGCCCCTGAGGCAGTTTCAATATTTGCCTTTTGATTCCTTTGTCTGAATCTCCATTCTCGAGACTTAGGAAGCACATTATGCTACTTATTCGTACTATACGTGCATGGGCACACACAGAGCAGCTGGCTTTCTTTGAGGCCTCTAGTGTGTACCCCTGACTCGCCGCTTTGGTCGCGGCTACCACGACCCCGAGTGAAACGTAAACCACACGACAGGGAAGAATAGCAACTTGCTATTGGCAGAGTTCCAAGTAAAGGGAATGCTGCTTGCTAGAATTTGTGGCTTTTCGGGTAAGCCATTGGTCGCCTCGCTTTTCTCCCAGACCCAGAGCCTCCACGAAGGCCAGACCCGATGCATGGCCAGGGAAAGGGGGGTCGCCTGTCCCCCCCCCCCCCCCCTGCTGGTCATTTTTTTTTCTTCCCATACAGCTGAGCACGTGTACTATAGCTCTGAGTATTGTCTCCAGGCGCTCTTGAATTTGCTAGAGAGAACAATCCTTGAAGATGACGGTTTTTGTTCCCTTTTCTTTTCCTCTCTTTCTGTTTTGAAAACCAGAGCACAGTACAGTTAGGGCTAATGAGGGAACCACTAGCACATACAGCCGCAACCACCAAAGTCTTCTCAACCCGAATGCTATGAAAAGAGCTCCTTGATGAACCTCCCAGTTGTGTCTCGCAGACACATACCCCCAAAGTCGCTCATCGAGAGCAATCATCAGGTCAGTAAGCCTCAAAGACTAGTAAGTAGTATTTGCTGTATCCATAATTAACGCAGGTTGCTGTTAGAGAAACATTTTCTCGCTACACAACACAGCCTCCTTTTTCCTGCGGCGGAAGTATTGTACTGCACGCCACGTTGAGTACACACTCTCCTCTCGACAGACAAAGCAATAAGGTTCCCAAGCCTCCACACAACTCCCCCACTACGTTAAACATCAAATCTTTGATATCATGGATGCGACTTATCCAGAGAAAGAGCTGACGCTTATCACGCTTAGTCGGTCGGGCTGCCCCGTCCCGGCCTCGGAGATCCCTTCCCGAGTTTCCCATGATCATCGCTTCACGAAGTTTCGGCTCACGATCCCGTTCCTGCCTACACAGCTCCCTTATGGCTACAAACATCTAGAGCCCCACAGCCGATTGATCGCTCCGGTCAACGAACGGCACCCCCCAATATCAACCCCGACCCCAAGTCCGAAGCCGGTACGCTGCGCGATAACACATCGAATACCCAGCTGCTCAATACCTGGAGCTTGAACATTAGGGGCTCATCGGTGGCCCTCACAAGAGTCTTGCATGGTGTCTCAACGCCTGGCATTAAACTCGCGCGACTTCCTTAGCTGGAGTCGCACGAAAGGCTGCCCAGCATTGAATATCGGGCTCAGCGGGCTGTCAGTTTGGGGCAAAGTTAGTCACTGAGCTCGGGGGCTTAGGGTTAACGGCCCAGCGATTCAACATCCACATTCTTCACCACGTGTGACCACGACACCGTCGCAGGGATGTCGTTGCATTCAATCATGGTTGTTACAGCAGAGGAAGATCAAGATTCTTGAGATTCTGCAGGGCTTCAAGGTGTCTTTCACGAGCGAGACAATCTCGGTCGACACTTTGGGATGACAATGCACCACACGGAGGTCAGTACAAGGTCTGTGTGAGGGATTTAGTCTGATGCAGCATTCACTGAATTTTGACCAGGAACAAAATTGTGACAGGCTAGACCAAGCACGTCGATTGGACCGAAGAATGCGATTGTCTGATGTCAAACCCAGCGGACCAGGGTATCGGTGATCCGGGAATTCGATACTCGTACATATGAGTACATCAGTAAGTTGAGGCCTAAGTCCCACCCAAGCCAAGTCAATTGGTCCAGACAGAAATGACAGGATCCACAATTGATTGCGGAGATGCGGAGCCATTTTCCGGGCCGAGGGATATGAGGGGGTCATTGCGTTGCCGCAAAACAAGAATGCGCCCCCATTCCCACCTACCTGTAAGGCATGTGCCGCACGGGTCATCATTCAACGAGCACCGATTCCGGGGAAATACGGGGCTGCTGCTGTCAGGGGTACTCTGGACGATAACTGCAGACAAACAACACGCGAAAAGAACCGACACAATCAAGCCCAAACAATTTTTTTTCGTCCTGCATAATTAGCGCGGCCGGGTTGCGTGACCCCCCTCCCCACTGCTGCGTAAACCAACCAACCTTGCCCACAAATAGCAATCCTGCACATATCAATTCCTGCATCAAAAGTCGATGCATCAGAAAAAAATAGCACTGACACCTGGCTACAGAAATCGAAGGCACCTGTCCATTTATTTCCCCCCGCCAACGCATTTACTCATTACTTTCCTATCAATCGACAGGGGGGGGGGGGGGGGGGGGCGCTTCCTATAAGATATGCCACCATCGCCAGACCTAGGCTGTAGCGATCCCCCCAAAGCCCGCCAACTGCTGCCTCTTCGCTGTTCTTAATCTTTCCGGATGGTCCACGACAACAGTGGCAGCGCCTCCATGCCATGGCGGGTACCACAGCGTTCGACCCAGAGAACAAAGGCCCGGCCCTGCTGGCGGTGATGTGGACTCTGACGAGCCTTGCGACCGTGCTGGTCTGCGCGCGCCTGGTGATCCGTACGAAGATTATCCGTGCCTTCGGGCTGGACGACTGGCTGATTGCTTCTTCAATGGTGAGTCCATTATCTCATTTATATCGATGATTCACCCGTTGACCCACTCCCATCCCCAGATCTTAGGGCTATGCAACGTCAGCCTCGCGACCGTCGCCGTGACCCAAGGTCTCGGCAAGCACGCCGCCACGATCGGCCCCTCCGCCGCCGAACGAGCGAACCTGACCATCGATCTCGGCTGGATCTTCGGGATCCTCGCCTTCGCGCTGCCCAAACTAGGCGTGGCCGCCCTGCTGCACCGGATCCTGGTTCCTGGGGTTCGCATGCGGTGTGCGCTCTGGGGGCTGACGGGGATGGTGATGGCCGTCGCGGTGGGGAATATTTTGGTACTATTTACCCAGTGCGATCCGCCGCGCGCGCTGTGGGCGACGGTCGAGGGGGCGCGCTGTCGCAGTTCGAGGGTCATCATCGGGGTTGCCACGTTTAATGGGGGTGAGTCTGCCTCTCCTGTCGCCGATGGCTACTGCAGTTCAGCATTCGCCGGGAGGGCACTCACTAACAACGTTGCAGCATTGTCAGCCTTCACCGACCTCAGCCTGGCGATCTACCCGAGCGTGATCCTGTGGCGATTACAGATGTCCCTGCATAAGAAGCTCGCCCTGTGCGCGGCGTTAGGGCTCGGCGCTATGTTCGTTCATCCCTCCCTTCAATCCCTTGACAATGCAGCCCTAACTGGTCCGGATAGCTCCGCCTGCGCCGCCATCATCAAAACCACCCACCTCGACGCCCTCGGCGACGTTGCTGATTCCACATGTATGCTTGCCCTACCCTGCTCTGCCCTTGTTCCCTTACCTCCTCCTCCCCCTCCACCGCAACCCTCACCCCCGACTAACGCTAAAGACAGACGAAAGCTGCCCCCTCGTCCTCTGGACTAAGTACGTCCCCACCTCAGCCCACGCATACCCAATCCAATCATTCCCCGTCCTCCAACCCTGTAAGCTAACCCCAGCAAAAGCGCAGAAGCAAACCTCGTCATCATCGCCTCCTGCATCCCCACCCTCCAGCCCCTCCTGGATTTCATCCTGGGCAAACGCTCCTCCGCCTGCCGATCCTACAGCCTCCCGCGCTCGTACCCGACCCCGGTGCCTTCGTATGGACCCGGATCCGCGAGAAAGGGGCGCCATCAGTTGACGGAAGGAAGTGTGACACGAGCAGACAGCCAGGAGGAGATCTGGTCCGGGGATGAGGAGGTGGAGACGGTGCGGCCGGGGCGCGGGCGGGGCCGGGGCAGGAAGTGGGAGATCCATCGGACGGATCAGATTGTGGTCGAGTTTGAGATGGGGGGTGGGCGGGGGCGGTAGGCTGATTGATTGAGAAAAAGAAAAGTGATGCGCTTGTTCGGGTGGGAGGTTGGAGCAATCGGATGGTGTTTGTGGTGGTTTTGGAGATAGGTCCTGAGGTCGATGGATGGGTTCTAGGTGATTGTTTGCTTGTGTACAGATCTATCAACTTTGATTTACGGGAGGTAACAAGATAAGAGCTGTGCACCCACTAGAGCTTATCAAGGGCGGCGGGGATACTTCCTGATCGGGTAAGTAGGTCCCCGCATGCAACCGCGTTCCAGAGGTACGCGCGGTGGCTGCGGGATATGTATGTATGTATGGCATGGGTGCAGTTGATGTGTCGAGTGCCACTCGTACTAGCGCGGTAGCATTCCCCTGCAGGAAACAACTCCGTAGAGACAAGCAATGTTGCTGAAACAGGCACATTCTTTTGTCCCGGAGATGATGCGATCTACTCAAATAGGTTTATACCTCGCGCATGGGCTAAGAGGAATTTACGCCTCGGTTCGAGGTCCCAATGAGGTGAAACATGAGCCCGGAGAGAGGTATGTGGGCCGAAGAGAGACCCGACTGACAATTTTGAAATGATTCATTGCCTTTAAGACCACTCAGACCTGTTTCATGCTCACACAGTTCCAGAGACAACAGCCGAGTGTCACCCATGTCTCAAGCTTGGACGAAGCTACTAAACTTATTTATGCTCAGACCTCATGCCCTAAGAGATGGACGGGTGTGCATTGACTTGAGCAGTCCATTTCACGCAAACCTTATTTCTTCCGCCTGAATCCGATCACTGAAACACTCCCGTAACCCTAACCCCATAACTTACTTCTAACCCACCCTTAACTTCCCTGCACTCCCCAGCCACTCACGCCAAACTCCCCCGCACCAACGGCACCAGATACTCCAAATTATACGCCCACAGATAATTCGACAGCTGGTTCCCGAACGCCGCGCCCGTCCAGTACGTCGACCGATGGCCCTGCAGCGCATACTGCCGCTGGATGAACCCGTCCCTCAGGTTCTCGGCGGTGGTCCGCATATCCATCGCCCCGTGGTTCGACCACGCATGGACTTTTATGGTAGTCCCGTTGGAGACTGAAGCGGAAAGCGTCCCCGCGGCGATTAGACGGCGGATCCCTTCGTTAGCGAGGGCCTGCGCGGCGGTCTCGCTGAATCCCAGCCAGCCGACGACGATGACTTGCCAGAGGTTTTCGCCGAGGTACTATTTTTTTAATAAGTGATTAGGGCTAGGTTTCTTGAGTTGCAATATGGATGGGATGGGGGGGGGGGGGGAACTCACCTCGAAGTAATCGACGAAGGGCGGCTCAGGCAGCGCGTAGTCGTTGCCATCGATCGCTGTGGCGGGGAGGTTGTAGATGACGCCGTTGACTGGTAGTGCGGGGTGGGAGATAATTCCTGTGTGGACGACGCTCCATTTTCCTTGGTCGAAAATGCTCTTCTCGGTGGTGTCCAGATCGAAGGGGGCGGTGTTGGCGGCTGTCGGCTCGATGGCCATTACGAGGCGTCTGGCGCGGATGATAGTGTGGGATTGGGTGCTGTGGTTCTGCACGACCAGCTCAACGCCCCGGTTGTCGGGGTACCGGATGGAATCGATCACCGTGCTATTCAGCAGGACGGAATCGCCCAGGATGTCCGCGACCGCGTCGTAGATGTCCTGGTTGCGGTGGGAGGCGGGGACATACTCCGGGTCCTGACCTAGAAAGGCGGCAGCGGTTTGGGGCCCGAAGGTCTGCATTTGGTAGAGGGTGGGTGCGTCGAGCATGTCGGCTAGACCGGCGCCGATGCCGGACCAGATGAGCTAGCCGGGACGATGGTTAGGGGGTTCGTGAGTGGGAAAAGGTTGGTGGTGGGCTTACGAAGATGGTCGCGTTTAGGTTGTACTTGGCGGCGAAGTCGCGGAAGGGCACTAGTAGGTCCTCAGGGATATCTTCGGGCGCGGGCCACTTGGCGTAGGATGGGAGGAAGAGATCCTGGTATTGACTGGAGACATTGTAGAATGTTTCCAGGGCGGCGAACTCGTCGGTGATGTTGGGAGCAAGGTAATTCACGGGCTTGCCAGTGGTGAAGTCTGCGTAGGTAGTGGTCAGGGTGGTGCTGCCCAGGTCGGGCTCCACGTAGTCGATGCCGAGCCGGTCGAAGAACGCGGTCGTGCCGGTGTAGTTGGTGTATGCCGCTACGCCGTCTGATGCGACATGCTGTCAGAATTGTGTAGTTGGATGGTGGTCAATGATTGTACTTACAGTCGTAAGTGGTATTAGTGGCGGGATTCGTCCAGCTGTTGACCATTCCGCCCTGTAGGGTGAGAACCACAGTGATTAAAGCATGGCCCATAAATGAAGAGAGGTTTCATACCAGTTGACCTTGTTTTTCGACAACCCTGATTGAGAGACCGGCATCATGGAAGTGGACAGCCGCATTGGCTCCGGAGGCTCCACCACCGACGATCACCACATCCACTGTCTCGACAGTTGCATCGGGGTAACGGGGTTCGAAGGTTGAGTTGGATGCTAGGGATGCAGCACAACATGCTCCAATCGAGGCAAGAGCGACAGAAAGTGAGTTGAAGGGAGACATCCTGAGTGAATCTTCTGGGGCGGGTAGAAGCTCAGCAAGATTTAAACCGGTTAAGTGAAAGCGAGGGACGGGCTTTTATTTCGAGGACTGAGACTAGTGTGAGAACCGACAGCCAACTACTGTGGGAGCGGAATGCCCTGCGCAACCTGAGAAATGAGTTGTGTATAAATGAAACAGTTGGAGACAGTTCACCAATCATTGTCCCAGTATAAATGAGCGCCGAAACATCTATACCCAACTTAGCTACCGTGGCAGAGTAGTAGGGCTGAACTAGAGCCAAGAAAGCTAAGCTATAACGTCTCCACCGCCAAGCCGGTCGACTGGAGCCGGGTTACCCGAGCTCAACAGCTGTCATTGCCGAGCAATCTCAGGGGGGGACTTCACCACAAGTGAATGAGGGTCTTTGAGCGACTCATATCTACATGAAGAGAGTAATCACGCGAATAATTGTCTTCCTTTGGAAGCCAGTATCGCAGAACATATTGCAAACGATCCTCCTTCTCATCCAAATTATATATCCGGTCATGACAGAGGCAGACTTCATTCTGCGAAAATGCGTAACCAGCTCTCACATCGGTCAGTTGGACTTGCGCTTCCGATCGAGTTCACTCAGCTTCCTAAAAGCCCGCGTTATTTCCACCGCACTTTGACACGCATAATCTGCGAGACATCAGCAAAACCCCACAGCCCACACCGCAGGATATCAAGACAATACTCACAAGACCCCACAGCAATCCAAATAAAGTTCATGAAGAAGTAATAAAACCAGAAGTAATAACCCTCTGGCCGACAGAACTCCATCCCGTGGTAGTAAAGGTCGAACAGGCTCGTCGCATAGTACAGCACATCGCCGTAGACCTGTCCCAGCGACATGATGAGCTGCAGGGCGTGGCGAGCGGGGTGCTGGGCGGCGATGCAATAGGCAACGAAGAATGCGAGCGGGCCCCAGCAGAACTGCAAGATTTATCAGCTTCTCTGGCTTGCTGCGTGCAGTCTGGATAGGGATGGCAGGACGTACGGCGGTGACGGCCTCCATGGACACAAGGAATGCGTCCGACGTCAGATACCGCGAATCAGAGAGGGAGTACTCCTTCCATAGCTGACCAAAGAGATCCTGCGAGCTTGCGAGGGATTGATGGTTGATGACGAAGTAGGCTTCGAAGAAGAGGTGGATGGATCCCGCTGCACGGGGGCTTACGTGCTTAGCATGGGGTGTTTGACTGGGAGGTTCGTCGAGGCGAGGATAGGGTACATACTCAGGCACATCCATTTAAATGCAAATTGGTCTGATCGACTCGCATTAGGTCGTGCGCGGCGGATGGTGATCAGAGCGACTCCAAGGACGGCAATCCAAAGGATACCAAATTGGGCAATGAGCGAGAAGACGGGGGTTGTGTTGGTTGCATAGTGTGGTAGGTGTATTGTTGAAGGATAGTAATTGTGAGAGACTGGTGTGGTTTGATTGGTCATATTGCGTAAGCTTGCTCAGCTAAGTCAACACAATTGTAAGTCTATTGTACATGACAGTTTAAAATATATAGATTGTCAACAAGGATGGATATCTTGTCTTATAATAATCGATGCACGATTGGTCCGGGCTCGGAGCCCGCGGAGCCCGCGGAGAATGCCAAGAGATTCGGATATCAAGGATACCAGATCAGACCACCAGCTTTGAGTTTGAACCCCTGGAGATCTAACTTATTCAGTAGTTAAATGCAAGGCTGCATATGCTGAAACAAGCATTAGACCCTTTTTGGTAGGCAACCATATTCACTCTGACTAGCGATACGCTGGCCTGTTTAATAACCCTACAATTGTCTACCTAGTAAAGCGATTTGTGTAGTTTATTCTTCCTACTTCGAATATTATCTTCGCAGCTCCAACAGCATAAAAGCTCCAATGTTATCAAAAGTCTACTACAAACCTCACAACATCAACTCATGCTCGTTAATGGAGGTGACTATGATCAATTTTGAGGTCCTATGACTAAAGTTTATATGGACTCAGAAAGTTAGGACTAAGTAGGCATGCGCGTGGGTGTAGATATGTGCAATTGATATGTTATCAAAGTCATAGATGCAAGGGGAAGAAAAGACAAACTTGGGATTTGCGCGGTCGGACTTTTGCCTCAAATCAGTGTAACACGCGCAGAAACACAGACAGAATGGGCTACGACTATACAACGGTGTAGGTTGAATTTGCTATTCTTTCGTGCGTTATCGTACGCTGACCATGGCAGCCATGTTATCTACAACGTCCCAGTGGCAGTCGGGCTTACCGCTGCCTTCTGGCCCTTCATGACGCGCCTGGACTGGGCGCGAATATTCACCATGGTCACGATACGCTACCTCATAATTTGGCGTCTTTGCTTTCGCAGCTTCTCTCCCCACCCACAAAATCTGACCATTGTGGATAGATAGCACTCACAGCCACGATTCCGTGGGATTCATACCTTGTGCGCCGCCGGGCCTGGACTTACCCCCGGGAAGCCGTGACCGGCTACACATTGTGTTCCATTCCTCTGGAAGAGGTCTTCTTTTTTGTCATCCAGACATACAGCACCGATATGCTGTACACCATACTCACCCGTCGATTGGTGTTCCCTGCCTTTGTGCGACCAGCAAGTGGGAAATCCTTCAGCGTGGGAATCCTGGTCCTGGCTTGGGCTGGTGCCATAGGTGTCAAATACCTCCTAGATGGAGGTCGGTACACCTACATGGGGTTGATTCTGGTTTGGGCTTGTCCGTTTCTGCTGGCTCAGTGGTAAGAGTTACTGCCTTTACGGCTAAGACAACACGCTAGATCTGATGCGCGTACATCAAGGGCAATCGCCGGCCACTTCATATTGGCTCTCCCTCGCCGCGAGATTTTTCTGTCAGTAATGCTCCCAACAATGTTACTATGGATAGTGGACACATTGTCAATGCGGCGAGGAACGTGGGTCATCGAGAATGGCACGAAACTGGGCTGGGAGGTATGGAGGAATATGGATATCGAGTATGCGCTAGCAGCTGGGCACTTTGACAGAGAGTCGCGATAATGACCCAGCGTATAGAGAAGCCGTCTTCTTCCTCCTAACGAACGTGCTGATCGTGTTCGGATTTGCCGCAATCGACTTTACCATAGCCCTAACCGATGGCAAGCTCGCTCAATCCAAGTCGAGTATCCACGGTGTTCCTTCCTACGGGCAAATCTTCCGGAACTTCGTTTTCTCGCCACAGAAACTAGATCCTGACTTTGTGGCTCTCCTGAGCAAGGCAGTTCGATGTTTGGCTACCAGTAGTCAGAGTATGTACATGGGAAGCAGTATGCTTCAGGGATTCCTGCACATTGATCTCATCTTCCTGAAAGGAGTCTCTAACCTCTAGAAACCTCGAAACCACCCGCTAAAAAGAGCCTCAGATATTATTTCTGTCGGGTGGCCGACGACCTGATCGACAACTCTCCAGACCGAATTACAGCAGTGACAGCCATCAACAATTGCAGAACAAAGCTAGCCTACCGGCTCTCACCAGACTAGGAACATCAGGGGGAACCTAAGCCTTCGGAGCTGAGTGAACCGATAGCGGCTCTCCCCGCCTCCCGACTGCGCCTTTCGCCTCTCCAAGGTCTCCTGGAGGGGTTCCGCACCGATACCAAGTTCGACTGCGAGAGCAGTGGTTTCCCTATCGACTCCGAAGAGGAATCACGTCGCAGGCACCGTGGCCGCCAGCGTGCTGGACCTCGTGTTCCACCACTTCCCCCATCATGCGTCGGCGAACCGTGCCACTACGCGGCGAGCGGTGATTGCGGCCGGCGAGCAGACTGGCCAAGGTTTTAAGTTGGTCAACATCGCGCGCGACATCGACCGGGACTCGCGGATCAATCGGGTCTATCTTCCCACGGCCTGGCTCACGAGGGCATCACCCCGACAGACGTGCTGGACAATCCGGATAGTGCTCCGGTGGAACGGTTGAGGAGACGCCTTCTCCTCAAGGCACAAAAGCTGCATGACGAGGCAGTCGGCGCCCTAGCATCCCTGCCCTCCATGGTGCAGGGCCCTCTACGGACGACCATCGCAAGTTACATGGCGATCGGGGCGGCACTTCAGCGCGGGGGTCGCGCGCCTCCGGGTGAGAAACTGCGGCTTCCCTTGTTGCGCCGTGCGGTGATTGCATTTCGCGCCATGACGACAAGGTCTTAGGATTTACAGCTTGGCTCACGGCGTTGTCACTTGAACAGCATCATTTTTAGGTTGGGGCCGGTAGTCTCGAAATCTAGCAAAGACCAAGTTTCGAGGGGGCGTTTTACTTGATAAATAAAAATCACCTCATATGATCGAAGGAAAATCATTAGTGTTATCTTGTCTACCGCTTGATTTGATAATCAAAGGGCTTGATTTCTCTCCGTCTCTCAGTAAGCCTCTATCCGCAGTGCAGCGCCTGGAAGAGTGATTCGCTAGGACATATATGCGCAAGGGGAGGGGGCTCGCTACGCATTCCTAACCGCCATGTGAAGCCGATCCAGCAAGAAAATATTACTACGCACACATGAGCCACATAAATAAGCCCTTTCGGGTATTGCCTGCAGAAGGTCGCTATCCTGGCGATGGACACTGCATGCGTGATGGCTCAGATCACCTGGGTTCTTACAGTACTTGTAGACCATTAGGGCATGTACTCCGGGTCACGCGCAGCCTTGTACTTCATCACTAAACTTCAAACGTCGTGGGCTGCATGTACCATGTCGTACCGCACTGTACACTCTGATACATCACGAATGGACATATAGTACACCACATACAACTATGCAACAAGCCGTGAAGCGTCGGTGTGATTGTAGGGCGCCAGACGTGGTTATAGCTTCTCTCTGAGACCACCCTGCTGACAGACATCTGCTGTTTGTGTCACGAAGGAATCCCTTTGTAGTTTGTATGCCACCGAGCTGAGTGCTCATTCTTAGCGTCTATCGCATATTTGGGGAGTTTAATTTTTATGCCATTGTTGTCATATCATCTCGACGTGAGCTTAGATACTTTTCTTTGACGTGGAAGACTGCTAAATGTTGCACGGTAGGCCTAAAATCTCCAGACTCATTCTGTCTTATTTTCCAGGAATGTGATGTTGAAGCTATCACCACTCCATGTATGCCCATGGTGCGGAAGCTATCTACCAGTTGACTTGGTATAGCCCTAACCCCAATCTCAAATAACCATTCAGGTATCGTTATTCACCACAACTATGGAAAAGCCATCAGTTGTTATAGTCGGTATGTCAACCCTCGGGATTCTTTTGCCATCATACCTCTGAAGAAAGCAAGCCTCGATGCCACAAGAATCGAGTCGTCATATCTAACGCACGCTCACTAGGAGCCGGCACTATCCGTCCTTGCGCGCCCTCCTCTGCCAGCCAAACGTCTTCCGGATGCTCCTGACCATGCGTCCCTGGACGACCATGTACGGCCGAGCGCAGCACTATTTCACCAGCACCAAGATGCGGCAGGCCTGGACCTTTGCCTCGATGTATGTGGGCATGAGTCCGTACGGGGCGCCGGGGACATACGCGCTGCTGCAGTACTCGGAGACGGTCGACGGGATCTGGTATCCGCGCGGTGGGTTTCAGCGGGTGAGTTGAGTTGAGTTGAGTCTTTTCGTCGCATTCTCGAGACTGTCCATCCTAAGACTTGATACTCATGTTCACGTGCTCACGAACTTTTCCCACAACGAATAAACAGACCTCCCTTGAATATCTGTCTCTCCTCTCATTCACACAAATCTCAGTCCACTAAGCCAGAGCGAAAAGGTCCTCCAAGCGCTCGCCGGCATCGGCCAAACCCAGGGGGTCTAATACCGGCTACGTAGCCCAGTGACCCGCATTATCCTCTCCGACGACCAGCACACTGCGCGGGGCGTGCGCCTGCACTCAGGCGAAGAGATCCTGGCCGACATCGTCATCGTCAACGCGGACCTCGTCTACGCCTACACCCACCTCCTCCCGCCCTGCCCGTACGCCGCCACGCTCACGCAACGCCCGACCTCCTGCAGCAGCATCTCCTTCTTCTGGGCGGTGGACACGCCGCTGCCCCAACTCCGCCCGCACAAAATCTTCCTGGCCGAGCACTACCGCGAGAGCTTCGACGCGATCTTCATCCATCACAGCATTCCCGCCGACCCGTCCTTCTACGTCAACGTCCCCAGCCGGATCGATCCCACCGCCGCGCCGGAGGGCAAGGAAGCGCTGGTCGTGCTGGTTCCGGTGGGCAGTCTGCGCAGCTCCGGAGAAGGAAGTCACCAGGATGAATGGGGGGAGGAGATCGTCGCACATACCCGCGAGCTGGTCCTGCGCACCATCGAGTCCCGCACGGGGATCCGGAACCTCAGCGCACACATCCTCCACGAGACGCATGAGACCCCGCCAACGTGGCGGATTAAGTTCAATCTCGATCGCGGCGCGATCCTGGGCCTGTCACATTCCTTCGGCAATATGTTGAAGTTCCGGCCTGCGATGAAGCACGCGAGCATCGGCGGGCTGTACTTTGTCGGCGCGAGTACGCATCCTGGGACGGGCGTGCCGATTTGTCTTGCGGGAGCGAAGTTAGTTGCGGAGCTGGTTAAGCGGGATGTCGAGTCTGTGGGAAGCAGTGATAGGGATAGGGCTACAGGGCGGGTTTTCTGGGATATACTGTTGGGGATGCTTGGTGTTGCTGTCGCAGGTCTGTTTGTGATGCAGATTCGGTTTGGGCAGGGTTGCGAGTAGGTTGGATGACGGTTGGGTCTGGTAGGAGTTGATTATGGATCTTCTGTACTTCCTTGTAGTGCAGTGGCGGTCTTAATGCTGATCATGCTCGAACCCTGCTATTAGTGAGCTTGAGGTGGTATTGTTGATTGGCAAAAGACGAAGATTTGAGCCGTGCTCAGACAGGGAATGTATTGTTGAACCATCCTCATCTAACCGCGGAACCCTAATTCCTCTCCTGCAGTCGGCGCTGAGCATTGACGTGAATCTTCCCCTTCAGCCAGGATATTGACTCCTCAATCCCTTCCCCAGTCGCAGTCGAGATGGGACGAAGTATCTGCCAGCTGTCAATCTTTTGTCTTGCCACCAAAAACCATCCGTCGGAGACAGAAAGCAGAGGAATCCCACCCATTCAACACCCAATCCATCCAGACCCAAGCAATTTACCTGCTCCTTTGCAATCCCCTCATCCTACACATACCCAACCCAACAAGCGATTAGCAATCACACGGGCCAGCAGACCCAGGAAGGTCACAAACCACGGCACCCCCCTCAAAGTTCACCAGCACCAGCCACGGAATCCCCTTCCTGGCAATGCAGTACGTCTGCATCTCGCCGGACTCCATCCTCCCGTGGACCAGACAGTCAACCTGGTACCGCAGCTCCTCCAGCGCGATCGCGTGGGCGGAGTTGATCACGATGATCAGGGCGTCTGCGTCCGCGTACCGCGCGGCGACGGCTGCCCGCCAGCCTAACCTTGCACTCAACCCTACGTCCGCGGCGATGAAGCTTAGCTCGCGAGAGGGGCTGCTGCTCGTCCAGCCCGCGTGGCATCCGTGTACGGTTACAGGGCTGAGGGGACTGTCGCTGACATGCTGGAGGAGGGCCCGTTTGCCGGCGTCGGGGAGGCCGAGGATGGAGACTTTGGGCAAGCTCAAGGGGCCTGGGGGAGGGGCGGCCTGGTCGCCGAGAAATGTGCGGACCCGTGTTATTAAATTGAACATTGTGGAGTGTGACTGCGTCCGACTCCTTACCTACACATTGTCTGTAGTAAGGAGATTTTCGGATCACAGGGGGTTGATACGTTTTCTCCGATCGCGGCGCGGGCGGATCATAGCCCCTGAATGGGTGGGTGGCCCGAGCTTTGTGCGGGGGGGGGGGGGTTTTTTTTCCAATCCAGTTGCAAAGCTATCTATTGCAGCCAATGCATATCTTGGGCATAATTGCTGGAGTTAGGAAATTGATATTTGCTGGATCCGACTACTCTCTGAACTGAAAATCGCGTCAATTGGGGGGGGCCGGTGCTTTATGGACCCATTGTCCGGCCATCGGGTACGAAATGATGACTTGGACGTTCCTACCGACCATTCTGGGGGCTCCTGCAGCTACGAATATACGATTGGGGACTAGAAAAATAGGTTATCGAGTAGCCCATTGCGAAGGTATGGGAAAGAAAATGGAGTATTTCACAGCGGCCGATCTCCCCGGAGACGTAGTCTAGTATGGAGTGGTGAGAGGTGTAATCGAGGGCCAGCGTGCTTGCGCCGGTAACTTGGACGATACAGCCGTTTAGATTGGTGCTTGCCATTGCCATTTCTGGAAAAGTCGGGGGGTTGCGAGAGGGCAGGCGAGACCTAAAGACAAGCAAGACGAGGGAGAAAAGGATTGAGGAGTCGGGGAGGCGAATTAGGGCTAGGTGCGTTGGGTCAGGTCCATCTACAAGTCACTACCGAAGGCTTTCCTTCCCTACTCGCCAGATACAGTATAGATTGACAAAACATTGGGCAAGATCTTTTGAACGAGCGTTGGACTAGGAACTTGAGGATCCGAAGATAGGGCTTACACCCCACTTCCTGCGCCGCAGAGGTCTACCACATCGACAGTGCTATACTGCTGCCTCTACACAACCATGACATTACACTTCATAAGCGATCACGTAACGATCCAGGGTATAGTTTCATGCCAGTAGCCCCTTAGTGATCATACAATCCATCCCTCAGTATAACATACATTCTCACCGTACATTCGTCCGACACGCAACAACAAAAGCGACACATACAAAATTAATGTCTCCCTCCATCCCGAACCTAATTTTTCCCGACGGGCACATGCGTCGGGATACTGACCTGATTGCTATCTGCAGGTATTTCCCGTGCCTCGAAGATGCCATATGTCACGAGCACTGCTGAGTTCAATAACTCTCGCATTCCACCCAACAGGAAAAATAGTCATCACCTTCAGATCAGGCGACTTGCTGGACTCTGTGACTTTACTATCTGCCCGGGTGCAAATGTTCAGGAGCTAACCCACGCCATCGTCTGGAATCCGGGTTCGCGACGATAAGTGCTATCTACGGCGCTACACGTGCGAGGGAATCGTTGGCTACGCTCTAGGAGATAGTAACTTAGCTACAACAAACAGGCGCATTTCCTTCCTCCGTACTCGGAAATGAGAGGCAAAAAATTGATGTTCATTGGCTGCAATGGAGGCGATGCTCAGTGGTAGATGTCTCTGGGTACATTCAGAACGCCAGCATCATCACACTCCCTGTCTGCCTCCAACAGAGCCAGCTGCTTCTGATGTCATGTGGCTGGCTAGCGCGTATTTGATGGTATGAGGCAGCTGCACTTTGTCGAGGCTGAAGTCGAGACGAACTCTTTCCACATTCCGTGCTTGGAGCCAGACTCCTCGATTCCAGCGCATCGGTCCTCGATGCTCGATATACTTTTGCTGTGTTGAAGGGAGACAATACGTCTCTGCAGGTGAGATAGGTTCGTCAGCAGCCCCCCCCCCCCCCGGAACCAAAACAGGCATTGTTTAGGGATACTCTGGCAAAAGTAGGGGAAGTTGATACGATCTCGACGACTCGTGGTAAAGAGCTAGGGGTAATCATACTCCTTGATATTCTTCCAGCTAGGGCCGTAGCGGATGGCTGAATGTCTTGGCCAGGCAGCCCAGACGGGGGGCCCAGACACAGCCGCCATCTCTTTGCACAACCCGGTTTCCCATCGCCAGTCATCTATCTCCATGCCTGCCAGCTCGTCTTGAACATCGCCCTCCATTAGGCATCATGCCCAACAAGGAAAAATATATTTCGGCTTGCGAGTGTTCGCGGCTCGCGCTACCAGCGCCCCGTGAGCCTTGTGTGCACCAGGGCTTACAGCACTCTTTCTTGGTGCGATCGATGAGATCCTGTGAGATACCGCGGCGGCTGAATTTCATCTTGGTTTTCTCTCTGGACTTCCAGGCCAGATAGGCGGGATAAGGTACTCTAGGAGATGATCCACCCTGCGGGTGGAATATATGGAGGTTGAGGGGTAGCGTTGGGACCACTCACTGATCCGTGAGGCCTTCTCGCGCAGTAAATTACCGAGTCATTATGGGGCGTCCAGTGGCTTGGACCTCGCGGCATCCAGATAGATATTCCGGTCTCGTGGCTGGGTAGATTTGAAAGGTAACGGGACGAAAAAGAGAAGACAAGAAAGATAGCTATTACGGAGGTTCCTCCGCAGGCTGGGAGGGGAATGGGAATCAGGTTTACAACGACATCAAGACAACAGGGATGCGATGGCAGTGAGTGTCGGAGAATGAGCGAGAGTTCTGGAACAGGGTGAAATCATGGACAGGAGATTCCCTGGAAGTCTGTTTGGTATATCAAGATTTTGGCCATACACGGCAGGGGATCTACCAGCTGCGCTTTCTGGTCTAAGACCACTTTTCATGGACCGAGTGTCTTCTGTTTCAGTTAGGGTTCGTTGTATGTAGTTAGATCCCAGCTAGTTGGCGGGCTATCAGCTCCGAAGGGGGTCAGACCGGCCTTCATGAACTGACTGAGAACATTTTGAAGAGTTTAAACTTACATACCGGACTGCTTGCAAGCCCCGAGATACACACATACTATCAGAAGATTCACCTACCACTCCATACCTCGGCCCTTGGAAGGAATCCTCATAGCCCTGATGAAAGAATGGGTGGATCTCACGTGATCGAGAGGCCTGGGCGGGGTGGGGGTGGGGACGGTGGGTGGAGTTAGACGAGGCAACAAATGGCCTTCGACCATGATAGTCGAATCCTGGGCTAGATGAGGAGATCTATCATATTTGTTCCGCAGTATGATACTTGCGCTAGTAAGGTAGCAGTGGCCACTCTGGGTCCTCTTGTTCTTCTCAGTCTTATCCGAGACGTCGAATCAATCGGCCTGGGAAGTACGCAGGCCCCTTCAATAATGGAGACCATTCGGTCGCTAGTGATGCACTGAGATTCGTAGAAGAGAACACTGATTCTGATTGGATATAACACCATCTCGCTTTTGGGGTAGAAAATCGAATAGCATAGGCCGGATAACTGATGGGACAGCTTCACAGCATGAACCTCGATGTGGAGACCTCCTTGCAATCGTTTGCTGTGATTAAAGGAAAAGTCTCACTCTGCTCCACACACCCCTCTCACGCAGCATGCATCCGCACCTTGACCCCATTGGCAATGCAATTAGTCAAGGTCAGATTATGCCGGAGAACCTCGTTCGCATCCAAAATCTCCATCCGATCGAACCGCTGCAGCAACCGCACCGTCACGTAGCTGGCTTCAGTGAGGGCGAACTGCTGGCCAATGCAGATTCTCGGGCCGCCGTTGAACTTAACACGAAGAAGTCTGGTTAGTGGATTGCTGTTCCCAAAGTATTTCCTGGGTAAAATGGTCAGGACATACAGGCAAATACTCCCAGCCAACCTTCCTGCCTTCCCACCGCTCAGGCCGGAAGACGTCCGCATCCGCGCCCCACAGATCCTTGCGGCGATGCATTACGTACACGCCGTAGTCGCACGTAGACCCCTTGGGCACGAAGACGGGGGATTTCCCGTCCTTGCCGCCGCCGCAAGGGAGCGTGGTGTCCTTGTTGGCGTAGCGGGCGTTGAAGGGCACCACCGGGTGCAGGCGCAGGGCTTCGTCATTCACATACCGTAAGTACTTGCAGTCCTTAAGTTTGGCGAAAGTAATCTCCTGCGGTTGGTTGTAGGGCCCGAAGTCGGCGAGGATGTTGTTGCGTAGTTTTCTGTAGCGCTCGGGATCGCGGGAGAGTTCGTAGAATACTAGGATTGGTGGGTTAGGGGTTGGTTCGTAGATTTCATCATCCAAGGGTCCGGAGGAAAGAAGGAGACAGTAGCACTGCTACTTCGACGATGCTTACCCCAGCCAAGATGCGAGGCAGTTGTGTCCCGGCCCGCCAGCAACAGATTCAGCAGTTGATAGCGCAGCTCCAGCGGGTCCTGCGTTTCCGCCGCCAAGGCCTCGAGGAAGACATACGGCTCGTTTTGGGAGGGCTGCTTCTTCGCGCGGAGATTCTTGGAGAGGGCGAGGCGCACGAAATGGTCGACGAACCCGTGGACCACGCCGCACGCCTGCCGGAATTCCCGCGAGTTGTAGAGCCAGTACTGGTCCATGAACCGGAGGCGGGTGGCGAGCGCCGACTGGGCGGCATCAAACGCGCGCGCGAACTTGACCTCTTGGCTCTCCTTGCTCTTGTTATTCTCGTCGGTCTGCCGGAGAGACTGCAGCTGGCTGTTGACGGACTCCCCGAAGAGAAATTGGGTGGCCGAGTCCAGCGTCAGGCGGAAGAAATATGGAAGGAGGTCTACTTTCTCAATCCAGCCGTCGGTCGTGATCAATGACTCCAGTGCGCGCATCATGTTCTGCATATGGGTCTCCTCCAGGTCCAGGTCGCTCACTTGGTCTCGAGTGAATTGCGGTCGCATGATGGCCTAAAATCCGTGAGTATGAGTTACACCGTGGAAGAGGGTGCTGGCCTGGCTTAGCAGAGCAACATACCCGGGAATGTTTCCAGTATGCTCCGTCCGACGTAAAAATGCCATCGCCAAGCATGGGGAAGAAATTGCCCCGCCTTGTAGGTCCAAGATCTGCATGATCAGCATGATAAGTCTAAAAAGACCTATGGGTGCATAATCACCGAAGTCATTAAACTGAGTTGCTAAAATTGCTTGGATGTTTC